GCTCAAAGACTGTCTTTCGGATCCAAGTGTCTTCTAACAACATCTCTACTTCACTCAGTGCTTATAAGAATTGGTTCTTCATTCAAAAAATTATTTTTTTTTTATCTCAGTCCTTTGTTCAGTCTGTAAAACCTAATGATCGAGTACCCAAGCAATGTATAGTGGTGAGTAGTATGCTGCTTTGGCTTAAGTACATAATACCAGTTAATCCAATGGCTTGTCTACAGACTGGTAGTCTCCCTCCTGCAGCTGTGTCCTCCCCTCGCTAATTCCCAGAGAGCTTTCAGTTTGGCACTCAGGGCTAAGGTCTCAGATTGCAGCCCTGCCTGAAGGCAGCTGTATCCCACTGACCTTTACTGCAGTGCTTGTGAACTGGTCACCCAGTCTGTCCTTGCTAATTTTAGCCCTGTCTGGAGATGGGCCTGCTGTTCTTACCCAGAATATTCTGAATTGACTAAAGTAGACTCAGAAGAGTTGCTTCCATTTTCATATATCCAGATGAAAATGGGTTTTCAACAATGACTGTGATAAAAAACAAAAGTACTAGACAGAAGTGGCCACTTGGACTCCATTTTGCATAACACTAAAATTATTTTGGGAGACCCCAAATGTCTTAAGATCTCCAGACTGACAAACCTGTATCAATAAAACAATAGCATAAAGTGTAACATTGCAAAATAAAATGTTATGGTGTGATCCTGTTTTTGCATTTGAAATTAGTTTTAAACACGTAAATATTCCCAGTGTTTATTGTCAGTGTAAAGTTGCTAGTAGTCCATTTTGTGAAATTTTGATGTTAAATTGTTTAATGAAACGGTGGTGATAATGAAAGGTGGCTATGGTTTAAATATCCTCATACCTGAGAAAATCTTAAGTTGTTACTTACGTCGGTTCTAAAAGTTTTCAAATTTTAGTATTTTGTGAAATCCCCAAGTTTTAAGAAACCACCTTGGAAATAGTCAACTCAGTAAAACTGAATATAAACTTGCATTCTCTCTTGGAAAACTCTGGATGAGGATTAAGCCACTTACTTTCTAAATTCATTCATTGCGAACCAGCAATCTGGATAATCCACCCCAATCGAACACTTGATGTTTCTAACAGATCTGAATAAGGTCATTCACAACCTTCAGATTCTTTTTAAGGTGGTGGGAATGCAAGCTGGTGCAGCCACTCTGGAAAACAGTATGGAGGTTCCTCAAAAAGTTGAAAATAGAGCTACCATACAATCCAGCAATTGCACTACTGGGTATTTACCCC